TAGGAATTTCGTCCAATTCCGGAATTCCAGGAACTGATTCCGCTTCGACCTAATTCCCGGAATTGCTGCCTTGTTTTACAGAGTAATCTATAAGCACACAGCATAGCATGAGAGTGATGGTGAAAAACCATTCCATAACGGAATTCCAGGAATTAGGTCAGAGAGGAACCAGTTCCTGGAATTCTGGAATTGCACGGAATTCCTAGGAATTCTCGGAAATTTTGGTCGGGAATCAGTTCCTGGAATTTCGTCTAATTCCTCTTTGACCTAATTCCCAGAATTCCGTTCCGGAATTACTGACTGGTTTTAGATAGTAATCTATAGCATACGGCATAGCATGAGGGTGAGGGTAGAAAGCAATTCCATAATGGAATTTCGAGAATTAGGTCGAAACGGAATCAGTTCCTGGAATTCCAGAATTGGATCGTTGTCGAATAAGCCCAATTTGTTGAATGATGTTCAGATTCCCGGAATTCGAAGGAACTGATTCCGCAATGTGCAACATCGCGGAATAGGATGTATTCTCGAGCTGCTCGGTTTGGGATCGGGCTCGGTACATGCATATTTATGAGAACTTACTGTACGAGAACAGTCATCAGAACGGAGCGCTCGATTGAAAGCTTAGATGCATGTGAAAGCCCTTCTGTCTAGTAAAGCGTCTTTTTAGCTTTTTAATTTATACAAACTCTTTTCGCACTAGTAGAATAATCTATTTTTTCTTTTCATCGCGATTTGGCGCATGATGATTATGCCCTCTTCAGATTTCACTCATAAAAAAAAAAAAAAATACACTTCGCCATACATGCATCTTACATTTTACTTATTTTTCTTCTTTCTTCTATTTTTGTTGCCATTCGATGGACGATGAAAAAAAATCGTAAGAGAAAGCCAATCCTACTAACGATCACCTTCGCGTCGAACACCACTTATCCTTAATAATCACATGAAGAAAGAAAAGAAAACGAACAAGAAAAAATAGTAAGGTCTGTTTGCCATCTAAAATGATTCATTTCATAAATAAGGTCTGTAAAAAGCAACATCCTGATGAAATCAATTTATCAAAACTAAGCCAATCTTAACAAAGGTGTTCGACAGAGGGCATTCGACTTGAGTTTATTTATTATAAGGGCTCTCTTCCTATTTATTTATAAAATATTGTTATTCTTGACGTTTCGATCAATGAAATTGATCTTCTTCAGAAATTCTCGAACAGTTAAAATGATTAAATACTGATAAAACAAATGTACATAACAGAGTAAAATATACAAAGCAGATAAAAGATTAAAAGACAATCAGGTAATGAGTCATATATTCTTGTCAAATCTATTGTTTCTTTTTCTTTTTCTTTACATATATATATACTGGTACGGACAAGACGGTAGATACTGGAATTCTTTTCTTCTGTATTTAGTTGTCCGTATCCGTATTACCGTCTTGTCCCAACTATGTTTGTAATTGTTGTGTTTGTTGTTCTTTAAGATGTTGTTTTTGTTTAAAACGTATTTTGTTCTTGATTTTTGCTTGATGATTGAGTAATATTCCGTTCCACATACTGTTTAATTTATCGTGTTTGTTGATAGATTGGTTTATGAATGAGTATATGGTTTCTTTAATTTTTCTTTTTTTGTAGTTAAGGGGTGTGGATGTGGATGTGGGTGTGAGGATGGGTGTGTGGGTGTGGGGTGTGTAAGTGTCGTTGTTCTTCTCGATAGTATCCGCACCCGCACCCGCACCCACCCACACCCACACCCACACCCTCTCGTCTGTTGTTGATCTGAGTCGCATAAATGAATTATTGGAAATTGCTTTTTTTTTAACATTCTGCTCTACTTTTCGAGATAGACTTTCAATAATGAAAATTCGTAGATCCTTGTACCAATTGTTTTACAGTACAACTTAAGACCTCGCATTGTTCTTGTTTATTCGACCTCTTTCGTTACAAATCTTCAAAGACAAACGAATATCATCAACGTATGATAATAATTGTGCAGAAAAAAAAACGAAAACGTCATGATAAGACAACGATTGCGCTTACCAAGCAAGGCCGCAGTAAGATAAAAAAAAACATCGCGATTACACATTTTTTTCTCGATCTTTTCAATCAACGCAATGAGAGAGAGAATGGTTTCGTTCAAAATTCTCATCGTTTTTCTTATCTTGCTTTCGATCCAGCGCATCAGTGCAGTTGTAAATGATTTCGAAAGAGTTTGGTACAATAGTATGGGCAACGCTTGTAATACGCGTCGTATGATACCGTTGATACCGACAAATTATAGTGGAAAACCATGGCAACAAACTCTGTACAATACAACAATGCAAGGAATAGGGACTGCAATCACTGGTGATCTTTATCTATTTCTGAGTGAAAAACAAACTCATGTAGGTTAGCATTCACTGCATCCATTCTAAATTGTGAAGAGTCCCATTCAATTTCGAGCAAAATTATCATCCACATTGACAAAATGATTTTCTTTAAAATTCTCAGATTCAGATATGTCAGCGTCCAAACAGAGAATACGCCCAATTTCGGATGGGAGAAAAAGTTTCCTTTAAAACTTGAATTAATCTTTAGATCAATGTCTGATTTGGATTCTTGTTGTTGAGGTGCGTTGAAGCGATGTCTATCCAATTTATGCCATAGTCATTTGATCAAATGAGTTTAGGATTCGTAGAGCTATGGGCATTTTTATACACGAGAACAGCCTTTATGGAAAGTCGTTCGTAACTGTTCGACTCTGAACTTACTTTCTCGATTGATACAAGTCCAACTTCGATCTAAAAACTATTTCATGTTTTTAGAGAAATTTTTTTCGCCCATCTGATCATGAACTTAACCATGCTGCGATTCAAGATTCGTCTAAACTGTAAAAAGAAATCCGCAGAATAATCAACCGTTGTACTTCAAAAAACTTTTCATAAACTCTTGAATGGTTTATCTCAGCGTCATATATCCTTCAAGTGTTTCTGAGTCAAAGGGTTTATGGAAATAAAAGTATATGACGTATATTAAAGGACTTACTATTCAACATTGCCATCAGAAGGATTTATTTTTCTATGACCAATGATTGATTACTCTACATCTCTAGCGCAATATTCACAGGACCAAAAATAGACGAAAGTGTGTGTGAATGGAAAGAGTTTGTTTGCTAAGCAAACAGGATACAGTTTGAGAATCCACATTTTCGTATTTCTTTTGGTGATCAGAATTTTTGTGAATACAAATGTGTACCTCCAGATTTCGTGCTACAAACTTCAATATTTATTAGCAGATGGGTTGAGAAAACGAGTAGCATTCTCAAAGAAGATGATATCTATCATTATTTTTAGTAGAAATCGATATAGAAGAATGAAGGTCAGTAGTGTACTGCGTGATTGATATTTTTGATCACGATCACGATCACGAAGCAAGCCTCTTGTCACTCACAATTACACATGATTGTGATCGTGAATTTGACGATCATGCACTACACTAGTATTAAATCAGCTTTTGTGCTATGTTTGTTTGTTTTTTCTTAAGAGTAGCATATGAACCGTCAGATTGTTTTCTGAATTCGATATCAACGTTAAATTTCTGAAGAAATTATTGAGATTTGTGAACATATATATTACAATCGTGATCACAAAATATAAGCTTCGATCACGATCACGATCACGATCACACAGTACACTAGAGGTCAGTTTGTAGTGAAGGTTGCTGCTCTCCTGCAAATATAGACAAAAATTATTTCATTTACTATGTGAATACAAGAAGTTAAGATCATATTTTGAATTGAGTTAGACCCTCTGATTCTTCGTTATTCGTATTTGTGATTCGTCTTTGAGTTTCACAAGGAGGACCGCCATTGGTTGCTCTAAAAAGATTTTTATATTAAATTTCCTTTCCTTCGTTCAGCCGATCATCTCTTTTCTGTGTCATCGAATGGCATTGTTCGATGGAAATTGTATTTGAATCCTATTGTGCAAATGATCAATAAGGCTGTATCAAATATTGTTTCAAATAATAATGGCCAAGTCTTTTTCATCTCATCTTGGGCGAACGATAGTTCATATTCGGCTAAAGTATGTCGTCTATTGATGATTCAAACTACTAATCCACTACAAGAATGTGTGGAAAATGCATTGCTCTATTCTAAATTCAATAATCCATTAGCTATCAATGATGCAGCTATATATTTGTTTACAACGGCTCTTGAACAATCCTCAGCAGTGATAAATACAACAAGTTTACAATTGGTTTGGATCGATCGTCAATGGATCGGAGCAGCCAACGATTCAGCTTATAATAGTGATGGTACTGGAATTTATTGGATTGGAAACGATGATCATTTTCGAAAAGTAGATGGACGAGATAAAAAATTGCTGGATGAAAATATGAATTCCGGTGGAAGTCGACATTATGCTTTCGATCGATTTCAAGCTTTCATTGTACAACCGTGGCTAAACATCAGTGAGACAACGAAGACTCTAGTTGTTTCTGCTTGGAATGTTCTACCATCAGTAGGATTTAATTTAATTTGGCAGTGGACGAATTATCGAGCAAACTCAATTCGATGTACTCAACCGGTTATTGATGATCGCATAGGTGTAACTTATATTGGTGCTCTTCCATATCTAAATGCGATTAATATCAATGGAAGACTCCTATGGCAAGCGCGGATCACTTCCGATGAAGAAATCGATCGATTCAATCTCATTTCAAATTGTTTAGCATTGAACACTGAAACAAAAATCATCTATGTTCTCATTTCATCTTCATCTACTGATCAGCCAGAATATTTATCAAATCTATTCATTGCTCGAATTCGTGCCGATGTTGGAATGGTACTTACACGTATCAATGTCGATGTTCCATTGAAATCATCAATTCTTGTACAGTGTCCAATACTAATCGACAACGACATGCTCTTTCTTGCATGGCTTGCTTCAACAGACTCCGATATAACTCAGCTCAGTATCAACGGTTATCCATAATCGTTTGCATAAATGATTCCGTTTGAAAACTTTTGAAGATTTATAAATTTGAAATAAAGAGTGTCTCATAAGTTTCGACTCCTTGTTTTTCCATCTTTGCGGTACTTAATCGTGGAGAGATATTGAATACATGTTTTTGAAAAGTAACATCTAACAAGGGAACATTCCCAGGTGCCGGAAAGCTTTTCGGTCGGGTTTTCGCGCATCTTGTAGCCCTTAGTGAGCTGTGTCTATTGTAAAAAAAAGTTCTGGTTTCTGGCTTGTTTCTGATGAGATAGAACGTTTTTACTATTACAGCTGCTACGATCATTTTATCAGAAAAAAAGTACTATGTCAACCAAGTGGGAAACGGCGGATTCAGAATTCCCGGATTCCCATGGATTCTTGAATTTTTTATAATCACAAATGGCACTTCCGAAATTCATATTTAACCTCTATGATCCTCACTCTAGTCCTGAAAATCTCATAGAACTTAGTGTCAAGGCTTCACTGCTTTACCATATGGTTAGAAAAGCTGCATTAAATTATTGAGGAAAATTATTTCCTAGGCGAACTTTTCTTTCGTATGCTTGATGGGTGTGAATCTTCTCTTGAATACACCCACATCCACATCCACATCCATCTTCATTTGATAACAGATGATTATTCATGACTCTTTCGATCGACAGAAGAGAATGACGACGAATATAAGTTCCTATTATACTTGATGAATATAGCATGAATTCGACATTTTGTTCGATCGATTGTTTTGATTCGATTTATTTTGAAAAAATAAGAGATAATCAAATAATAGTACATGTATTTGAACTAACCGAGTAACTATTGACTACTTTCAAATTCTGATTACCCGCATTTGCCAGATGAATTCCTTTTACTTGTTGCTGATCATATTTGAATGTTTTTTGGCGAATATCATTCAAATCATCTTCAACATATTGATGATCATTTGTTGCAATAGGCAAGTCTACATTAAGATCATTATCATGATTTTCTTCATCCGAGTCATGTACTAATTGTTTGACATCGATACTCTTTACATTTTTCGAAAATAATTCGATGAATTTTAATAGTGTACCATTAACGGTATTCGTTTTTGCTTGAGAATGTCGTCCATTCAGACGAGTAACAAAACGAAGCGAACTAACGGGTCGTACAGTTTTTTTAATAGGATTTATAACAGAGTCCTGTGTTGTCTGAGCATCATTTTCATTATTGTCATCATCATCATCTTCATCGCTTGAATTCATATCAGCACACGCTTGAATATGTTCGACAAGTTTCACAGTAGCAGATTTTACTGTTTGTTGAAGAGTTCTTCAAATAAGAACAAGTTATTTTAGTCAATATCAATGATCTTAACTTTACTCAGAATAGCATTCTAATGACTTTTTCAAATATGTTGGAATAGAAATTTTTTAACTTTTCTTTTACTAATCACGATAACTACGAATGTTTTATGATGTACAAAACAAAATATCATCTAAACATCATAAATGACTTTATTTTATATGAACAACTACTACCGAAATCTTTTCTATGCAGACGGGTTTTTTTTGAATTTTGAAAGTTAGAAATCAGTCTGAATTTTTCTTTTGTAACTTTATGAGATTAAAAACACGGACTCTTAAGCTTTTGGATAGCAACCATACAAAAATAAATACAGAAAGAAATAATCAGGTGACTTAAGCAACTATTTATCATTCTTCTAATTGAACAAAATACTCTCACATGCATAGTCATACGATTTTACCTGCTTGGTAAGGTCTGAATTTTTTCTTGTAGATCTGGAGCAATTGGATCGGCAGTCATTAGTGTGAACAATCGTCGATCATTCATAGCTAATACAAGAAAATAATTTTCAGCTTTCATCGATGCAACTAAATCATAGAGAAATAATTTGGCCAGTTGGTGCCGATCATTGATTCTGTACATGTACAATGTATGAGATTTGATAACAGTAAAAACATAGGTGCCTGATTCATTCAAACATATGTGTTCACATTGATTCTCTAGTTAAATGGATTCATGACAAATATGTAAAGGAGTCGAGTATAAATTGAGTAAATTATTTTCATTTACAATCGTAGCTAAACAATTGTGTTTCAAACAATATTTATCGACTTGATTCTATGATGTTATTTGAGTAGAACCATTTTTTTTTCGATTGATCTAATCGAATTTGACATGAAAGAAGATATTTGTTATCAAAATATAAGAAGAAAAAATCGTGAGTTCGTTCACTAGCGATATTTATCAAGCGTGACGATGATAATGCAGATGGCAAATCAATATCAATATAAATTATGTCATTTATTGTCCAAATTACCAGTGATTTTCTATCATCAGCAAATACAGCGGGATTTTCTGTTGAATGAAGTGTTAATAGTGAACTGAACATCATCGAGCATTTCATTTTTAATTGAACATTATTTGATTGATTGAATTCAATTTTACCATTAGCATTCGTTTGTTGAACGATCAAACATAATGAACCAGTATTTGTCAGTAGAATAAACGTACCATTCGTAGATCCATGAATTTTAGCTGGTGAATGAAGATGAAGACTAAATAGAGGTTCCTTATGCAGAAATACCGATGAATAAATTTCAAGCCAATTATTGTTCGTAATTATGACTGTTAAAATCATAGTTTCATTCGACTTGTTCAATGTCATAGCGAATTTGCTGACAGTTATAGAATTTTGATAATAACGAGTTGATTCAATCGATGTCGAATGTTGATATAGCCATGTAGAAAGTTCTCTAAAGAATACAAAAATATTGTCTAGAATCTAGATGTAATCGTCGCAATCAATATAAAGCAAACAATAAAAGATTGCTGAGCTATTAAATTCAAATATCTGATAATCAAGACGAGAGTGCCGGCAAACGTAGAGAGGGAAAAAGTCGAAATTGAAAAATATCGAGAAAGAAATCACCGAAAGATATGTTAGAGGGGATGAGCGCATTATTCACTCTCGCCAGTATCTTCTATGAGCAATTTCAAAACGACCAAAGTGCAAATTAAAGATAATTATATCGGGTTCTTAAATTCCAAATTTTTAATTGACCAATTGTTTCGGTTCATGTAAATCAGAACTTCAAGAATGAGACATGAGTTGATGAAAAACGATCGATTTTGAAACATAACCTCATGTCAATGTTTAATAATAGAACTTATGGAAAGTGTTCGATTATGTCTAAGCCTATATTATTTTTTTGTCCGATATGGGCTCATACCTTGTGAACCTTTCAGTGAGCATAAAAACTATACGTATGAGTACGAGTGACAACATTTCAAGTCAAAATCCGATGATTTGATCTGTTTTCTAAAAATATCGTTCCACATATTCAAAAACACAAGTATTTCATATAGAATTGTTGAAGAGAACTACTACTTTTACATGGCACAATTATCTTGGGTTTATGCGGCTTGAGCAAGAGTGTAACGAATGGTCCTCAGTATCGAAGACGGCGTACCTTTTTCGTTTCTTAAAAAAAGCCGGTGCTTCCTTCCGGTCCTCGAATTTACATTACATTCGGGTTCAATATGTGAATGACAACGTCAATCATTTCAATATCAGTTATTGGAATTAAACACACAAAAGTCTATATACCGGATGCAATTTTGCTTTATTCACTATAATTTAAATTTGAAAACATTGCATTTCATGTTAATCAAGATTTAAAAATAAAGAGATAAAAACAAACAAAATTACCGTTTATTTGTATCAAGTGTAACTGCTATTGTATTGAACAATTCAACAGTATCGATAGGTTCGATTGTACGTGGAAATGCTGCCATTTTCTTATAAGCTCGACGTGCTTGACCAGCATGATACGCATGAATGACTCCATTTTCCATCGAACATTAAAATTGCAATGCTAAAACGAATTTTTTTCTATAATTACTAGTTTCAAAATCAAACAAAATCACTGACCATTTTCAGCTGACTGTTTGATCGTAGTGACAGATGATGAACTAATATCGATGGAGACATATAATATTGATACTTATGAAACGCATCATTTTTGACATTGCCATCATCTTCATTTACAACACATTTCCATTTATGTATATCGATAATACCTTGACGAGCTGTACATACAATTTGTCGATTTTTGGCATGCATTGAAACAAGATCATAATAACCATCGATACGTACATATGATAAAGTTTCTGCTATACAATAATGAACAATATATAAACCATCATTTGTTATAGCTGTGAACAGTAATGAATTAGGAG